AAGGCCTGTTTGGATGAATGTGAAAAATCCCAATGACAGCATATTGAAGAAGAGGAGGGGTGTTATCCACAGTAACCTGGTCAACATTTATCCCTCAATTAACATCACAAGAAAACAGATTATCTGGTCACTATCAAATTTCTTTTTGGGCGGCTGATGCGCACACATTGACTGCTGTGTTTTCTGCATTATAACACTGACAAAACTTTTGAAACAAGTAGTTCATTCACTGTGAAAGACTTCGAGATTTCAGATGTGAAAAGTGCTGTACTGAATAAAAATAAGTGGTATTATTTCTTCATTTCTGAAGAAGGGTCTAGGCCCGAAACGTCAGCCTTCCTGCTCCGCTGATGCTGCTTGGCCTGCTGTGTTCATCCAGCTGTACACCCTGTTATCTCTGTATTATTTCCTCTTTAGTTTCCTTCGTGATGTACAAGGTAGTCAAGGCACATAGTTATGGCCATTTCCAGACTCTGTTTCTTGGAGCCAGTTACTCATCACCAGAGGCTGTAGCTTGAGAGGCTCCAGTTCATATTGAGCATGGCTGACCAGAGGTCTGTCCAGCTCTCGATGCCTGCCTTTGGCATATTGGAAGAATTTACAGCTAATAATCAGCATGTTTTGACATATAGGTCCAAGTGTTAACCGTCAAGTCCTGGAGCATGACTTGAACCTGGAGCTCCTGGCTCAGAGGCAGGGGCACTACCCACTGCGCAACAAGACCTTCAATTTCTTTCTACATGTCCTGTGTTTATACTCTGGTTGTCATGATCTTAGTATTTTTGGTGCACTCCTGGGGTGAAGGTCTACCCAAAGCAACAATGTCAAAGTCCTATTATTTATTTGTAAGAACGAGCTGAGAGTTCAACTTATCTGTTGTCAGAACACAGGTTTTGCCTATGGAAATAAATTAATTCGTGAAGTGATAGTTTCCTCTCTCTATAGCCTCACTACAAACTGTATACGTAGTGTCTTTTATGAAGGAAAAATGTCTACTGATTAACCAAAATTAATTGCTGAATACAGGAAGGTTAACAGGAGCACACAAACAAGTGAGTTGCATTGACTATTAACTGAATCAGTTTGGGAGTTATAAAATTCCTTGTCCAGCAAGTGGCACTACAACACTGCCGTTCTCAATATACCAAACATGTATTTAACATTGAGGCATGATAGTTCCGTGAATCACACAGCCCATGGAAAGCTGCTGTTGTACTCAGGGACTGCAAATTTTAAAGTTAGAGCTCATTTGTCTTTTAATCTAATAGGCTACAGCAGCAAGGTTACAGTTTATCAGGATAACTATGGTCACTGTAATTTGGCTCTGCCTATTTTGTTAAGTCAAATGAGTTTGGTGCTAAAAGTTCATGGTTTCTCCTCTCCTGAAACTGGCACAATCCCCTTGGGGCCTAGTAGCTTGGGTTACAAAAGTATGAGTTGTTGTTATTAATTAACTACGTTTCCAGGCCTTCTCCTTGGCATGTGTTGAGTTTGTTGGATCTCTATCTGGTCACCATTTGGTGAACCCCAGTTAGCTCTTCAGGAATTATGCCGCAGTAAAGTTGCTGCTGAGGGAAAGGATTGGTAATGCAGAGTAAAATACTCAAAGGTTGACAGCATTGGCAAATTGAGAGGATTTATAGCTTGATTCTCAAGCACACCAGGAACATATATAACCCTTGTGCATTTCTGCCTCCGATTTTAATATTGTTGAGGTTCGTAAAGTCACCAATGTGAAGTCTACCGGGAATGTTGTAATGAGGTTCTGAGACCACACTTTAAAGTTAAGAGCACATAATGCAATACAGTCTTCACACAAAAGCAGTTCTAATTTGAGCGGTGCTTATGGTTCAGATTTGCAGGGATGGGAGCACTAAATTAGGCGAAGCAAGAACTTGCTGCTCAAGTGTAGGTATTTGTATGTTTTATGGATGTCAGTTAGTCATGGATATCTTCCATATTTCAGTGGCATCCCTCACACTTGTAAGTAGTCTCAGCAGCTTGCATTTTAAGAGGTAACTTGCCTTGCCCTGCAGCTTCATGTAAAATAAAGTGACCCAGGGGTACAGTGAATACCCCCAATCATCCCAACAATATCTTGAACATGAAGCTGGCTTTTTTGTGTGTATTTATTCAGTCTCTCCCAAGGCACACCTAGATTACACCAAAGGAGATAAAACTTGGAATGACTAAACTGCTCCAATCCACGCTACAGAGCTGAAGTAATGATCAGGTTAAGTCAATACATTGTTCCACATAACAATTTGAAAATAATGTACATTATTTTATTTTGTTCTTTGGATGTGGGCTTTTCTAGTAAGGCCAACGTTTATTAGTTGCACTGGAGAATGTAATTGTGAGCTGTCTTCTTGAACTGCTGTAGCCCTTGGGTTTTGGGGACACCCACAATGCTGTTAGGAAGTGAGTTCCAGGATTTTGAACGAGTGAAGGAGTGGTGAAAGAATTCCAAGTCAGGTTCATGAGTGGCTTGAAATAGAAGTTGCAGGTGATGCCTTCCATGCCTCTGTTATAAGTGATAGAGGTTCTCCTTCAGTTTTTTTTATCATTCATGGTGGCATTCTGGGACATCACGGTGGCTGAGTGGTTAGCACTGGTGCTTCACAGCACCAGGGACCCGGGTTTGATTCCAGTCTTGGATGACTATCTGTCTCCCTGTGTCTGCATGGGTTTCCTCCCACAATCCAAAGATGTACAGACTAGGTGGATTGGCCATGGGAAATGTAGGGGTACAGAGATAGAGTAGGAGGGTGGGTCTGGGTGGGATGCTCATCGGAGGGTTGGTGTGGACTCGCTAGGCCGAATGGCCTGCTTCCACACGTGGGGATTCTATGTGGCTGGACTGCAGAACTTCAGTCTGATTCATTGGTTGTGGGTTTGTTTAGCTTTAACTACCTGAGTTATGACTTGAAATGCTTTGCCTTCTTGTGTAGTCAAGACACATTCAATATTAATTTTCTGAAAGGAATTGGGCAAATATTTAAAGAGAACAAAAAGATTGAGGGTTATTATGATAGAACTGAGTTACGGGATTAATTAGATGGCACTACTAAATAACTGTCACTGGCGTGAAGGGCTGAATAGCCACTTTGTGTGTGGTATCATTCTATGAGTTACATACTGCTTCCACTGTTAGCACACAAGTAGTCCTGTGTTGTAGCCTCACCAGGTCGACACCCTAAGTTTAGGTATTTCTGGTGCTGCTCTTGGCTTTCCACCGTGCACTCTTCTTTGAACCTGGGTCGCTCCTCCAGCATGATTATACTGATCGCGATTGAATGTAATTCTGCTGTTGCAGATGGCTAAAAGCACCACATTGATACCCAGTTTTGAGTTGCTAGATCTGTTCCACATCTGTGACATCGTATGTTGGAGAGACTAGCCTCAACCTGAAGTCAGGACTTCCATCTCTACAAGGACTGTGCAGCAGCCTCTGCTACCAATGAGTCATGGATAGATACCTCTATGAGAGGTGGATTGGGGAGGAGGAAGTCTAGTAGGTTTTCCCCTCCCATTGATTCCCTTACCACTTGCTGCAGATCAAGTTCAGCAACTGCACCCTTTAGCACTCAGCCGGCTGGGGGAGGCCACTTTGTAGACTTCCCCCTAAGAGTCCACTCTGTACCCTTGCCATGCTCGGTGCTCATATGCTACTAATTTAAAGCAATTCTTGCCAAATCTTCTGAAAGTAGAAAGATAGATAAATAATCTTGGAACATGACTTAATGGCTTTTGTGGAGTAATTTATGTTAAGACTGGTTAAGTTTATTCGAAGGTTATTTGGACATAAGGTCAGTGGGGAAGGTCAGTTTTTGAGCCTGCAGATATTATGGCTCTGGTCTGTGCTGTTCTGGAGTTTCTATGCATCAATGTGTGATTTTCTGATTAGAAGGAAATTTAAAATCAACCTCTTCTCCTGTCTTCTCCCATTCTTCCCTTCACCGACACAAGCTGTTCCCTTCCTCACATGTCCCCTCTTCCTGTCCTTGCTTGTGTCTGTTCTCCATTCACCCATATCTTTAACACTACCTTTGGGAGTTGTACAGCAGGCTTACTGCACTGAAAGGAGATCGTTTGCTTTTTTGAGGAAGCAGTAAACAATGCAGGCTGTATATCTCGGCACAATTTGTGGCCAACTTGGTGAGTGATCCGTGATTGGAGTTGCAGATGTAGGTATTGTATACAGCAGCAGTAATGGTTTTCATATGCCTGCACTTCAGTTAACCCAGGCAATTTACCATGTGTGATGACAGCTGATTAGGTTTTTATTATCGGATGAATTACAGCCTATGTTTGAGTAGAATTTATGCAGCCTCCTATTGTTGCCTATTAGAACAAGGCAGTCAAACTCACAAGTGAGCTCCCCCACTTCTGTCCAGTAACACAGACATTGCCAAGTTTCTGACTGCCTCTCATTAGGACATTAACTTCTGATTAGTTTACCGTCACCAATCAGGTCATCATTCTTGTAGTGTCAGATTGGGGAGTGTAACAGCTTTGTAGGATGGGGAGCATATCACATGGCATGCCTTGATCCTGCTCGATAATCATGTATCTGTCCCATAAAAGATACTAGATTGTCGTCATGATGTGAAACTTGCACTGAATTCTCATTTCCAAACCCCAGCTGTGGGCACTGACACACATGTACTCCTATACCTCGAATATTCTGATGGAGCAACTTTACTGACTGAACTATCAGGAGCATTTTGAAAAGTAAAATTTGTAAGTTATATAGAGAAGACAAGCTGTGGATGTTTGGAATTACATGAGGTGTAGGCACTCATGATCTGCAATCAAATTAGTCAGACTGACTTGTCTAGACAAGGACCATCGATGGTAAGTCTGACTGTAACGGTCAGTGGACAGGGAAGCTTAGAGACTGGCAGTGATTGGTCTGACTCCAATAGTTAGTGGACAGTGAGTAGACCAGTGATACCCAAGCACCATGTACTAGTTCTGAGGTTCTATTTATGTCCAAAATGCTGAAGGACAAATCTTGCCACAATGCCACGGGGCACGGCAGTCTGGCACTTCGTGGTGAAGCTTTTATGCAGAGAAACAATTGGGTACTGATCCACATGCAATGTCCTCAAGGTCCTGTGGGAAAAGGAGACAATAAATCCTGTTGAATGGTTCACGGAGTAGACTGTTAAAGTTATCTGGCAGAGCACTTTGTCACCAAAACTTTCAGACAAAAGCCAATATACAGCTTATCTAGTAGATGGGAAGGCCCTCCCTGTCTGCATACCTGGAGTTCAACCCCTCCTCTCACTGTGGTTGCACTGGGGAAGAGACTGCTGTGTACCTCCTTCTGAAATTTTCCTTTGCAAACAACTGGATAGAGATGTGAAAGTTCATCCCGAGCAGCTCTGTAACACTGGCTCTGTGCTCCACAGGCGGTTCCCAGCACCATGCACACTATGATAAACATCAGCTACTCCTTTGAGGATCATCATGTTTTGAAAGATGCCCCTTTGTGCTGCTTGAAAATTGCTGGTTTTCCTGTACAAAGCGTTATTATAAACAACTAGATGCTACAGACTGACACATTTCAAGATTCAGGACTATATGCTGATTGTGCAGGAGAGTTTGGGCCAATGACACCAAAGGCACAATTGGGAAAGGCCATTTTCTAAGGCCTATGACAAATACTGTGTTGAAAGAGACTGACCTGTTTTGGATTTTACCTAATGTTAAATTTGTACTGCTAATTTACAATTTTTTTGTGAATTAAGTGTATTTTAGAAGAAAAAGAGACTGCCAGTCTGGATATCATGGCCAGTGGGCGAGGTTTGATTAGAAGCAAATGAAAGCAGAAGGTTCTGAAGAAGGGTCACTGGATTCAAAAGGCTAACTCTGCCTTCTTGCCACAGATGCTGCCAGACCTGCTAGTTCCTCTAGAAATTTCTGTTTTTGTTTGTTTCATATCTCCAGCACCTGTAGTTCTTTGTTCTATTTCACAGGTTTGATTAGAGACTGGCTATGGTCAATTTGACCGTTGTGATTTCTGGTACTATTTGCTGAAGTGGTAGAGTGGATATAAACGGGCGTCTCCAATGATTGATGGGGTCCAGAACAACTGAATAAAGATGGACTACAGAGTGATGATTCTAACCCAAATATAAAGAAACTGAGGAATGTCTGCCAGAGATAGTACTTGATGCAGGGACAACGTCAGCATATGAGGATAGATTATATAGATAATGATTCCCTGATTTTCGTTGTTCCATTATTGATAGCTTCCTAGGGCCTGAGTTCATAAATTCTTTTGGTATCATTAGAGGTGATTGTGAAGGATTAATTGTTGTAAACTCTTAATTGGGGTATCGATGTTAGAATCATAGAATTCTTACAGTGCAGAAAGACGCCATTCAGCCCATCAAGTCTGCACTGACTGTCGGAAGAGCATCCCATCCAGACCCGCAACCCCCACCCCGATCCTGTGAGCCTGCATTTACCACGACATATCCACCTAGCCTATACATGCATGGCCAGTCCACCTAACCTGCACATCTTTGGACTGTGGGAGGAAATCACCTCACCCAGAGGAAACTCACACAGACACGGGAAGAAAGTGCAAACTCCAGACAGACAGTCACCTGAGGGTGGAATCGAACTGGGTCCTTGGCGCTGGGAGTCAGCGGCGCTAACTACTGTGCTGCCCTTGAGGGAAGGAACCTGTTTTTCCTCTGAAACCAGTCTCTCACCAACATGGTTGAAATTCAACTGGGATAGCTTCGCATAATTTTTGACTATTAGAATATGACAGAGACTGGCCATTCTGCAGAAAGTGGCTCATCTTCTGATTTTACAAAATAACTCCTGTGCCTGAGAGGCACAATCAGGAATGATGTGGACTTGCTTGGATAGGTGCAGCTCCATTAACACTCAGGAAAACCAGATACCATGCAGAGCAAAGTTGTTGGCCCGACTGGCACTTCCCCCATTATCCTAAATTCCAATATCCTCCGGCACTGGTATAACTTGTCCACAGCATGTACCTATGTGATGTACCATTAGCAACTCATGATTCTTTGAGAACCCCTCCATAAATGCTGACCTCTACCATTTAGAAGTAAAAGGGCAGCAAGGTGCATGGGGCACCATTAGCTCCAAAGTACTGGGAATGTAGGAAGTTTGACTGCATAACCCAAACACCTCTGCATGAATATAAAATTCATCAAAAATCGAAAATAATATACTGTTTTGCAATTCATTATTGCTTGTGTGTACTTTTAAAGTGGGCTTCATTGCAAGTCACTGGCTTGGTGCCATGCCTGTGCGTGTGAGCCCCAATACAGGAAATGTCTGCGTGGCATTCTGCCGCATTATGTACTTCTACCCTGTTTTCCTGTATATTTCTCTGGGGCACGAACTGATCGCTACGATAAGAGGATCTATGACACTTTTAACTCCATCAATCCCTTGTTACTTTCGTTTAAACCTTGACAATTTTGTAGTTTACCATTGGCACTGTAATTGACTGTACAGGCCGAATTTAGTTCTTGTGACAGCAATTCCCCCTCCTGTGGTTGGACACTTGAGTGCCTTTCAATGAGGGACCACCCTGGTAGACTGCCAGCAAACCTAATAGAGTTTGCTGCATTGCCTTTGTGAAGCACGTCCTGTTCCATCTCTGAGCTTTTAAATTCCGCTGGGTTCAGGGAAGATTGCCTTAACAAGGTTCATTAATGAGATTAATTAACATCCTGTTGCCACTAGGCAGTATTCCTGCACTAAGCTCTTCCTCCTCTTCCTCTTCCCCACCCCCCAAAAAAAAGGTTTTTCTAAGGCTGGGTATTGGACAAGCGTGCCCCTGCCCAATTTGCCCTGCATGACCCCACCGTACCCCTGTCATTCACTGCATTCATGTCTGCTCTGAAGGACTCCATTAAATGCTGTCTCGTAATTATGTATGTTAGTATTATCATCACGTTTACTAAGCAGATAGACAGTGATGTACAATTTGGAAAATACACGTTATGTTCAGCAATATGTTCCCTCTATAATCTTAATCCGTTGAATCAAACGGCAGCCACTGGTACAGACCTGTAATTACCAGTCCTTCATGCAAGTGTTAAGTATGCGTACCAAAGTTGGACACAAGCTATAATTGTTTGCAGCTTGCTTTTTCAGAGTTGTGTGTGTGTGTGTGTGTGTGTGTGTGTGTGTGTGTGTCTCTTGTATATAGTAAAGAGAAACCGCTATGTAAATTTGTTTGTCTGTAATTATGTCCTGCATCAGCAATGTTACTGTGACACCTAAATTTTATGTTTTGCAGCACCTCAGCCAGTGTTAACTAATGGAGTTGATGAGGGGGTGCCAATGGTTTATTTGGACGTCCACAAGGCTTTTGATAAAGTCCCACATAAGAGATTAATATGTGTAATTAAAGGACATGGGATTGGGGTTAGTGTATTAAGATAGCTAGAAAACTTGTTGGCAGAGAGAAAACAAAGACTGGGAATAAATGGGTCTTTTTCCAAATGGCAGGCAGTGACTAGTGGGGCACCACAGGAATTAGTGCTAGGATCCCGGCCATTCACAATATATATTAATTTTGATGAGTGAACTGAATGTAATATCTCCACATTTGCAGATGATATAAAGCTGGGTGGGAGGGTAAGCTGTGAGGAGGATGCAGATATGCTTCAGTGTGATTTGGACAAACTGAGTGAATGGGCAAATACATGGCAGATGCAGTATAATGTGGACAAATGTGAGATTATCCACTTTGGGAGGAGAAAACAGGAAGGTAGATTATTATTTGAATGGCTATAAATTGAGAGAGGGGAATGTGTAACAGGATCTGGGTGTCCTTGTACACCAGTCACTGAAGGTAAGCATGTAGACATAGCAGGAGTTCAAGAAGGTAAATAGTGTGTTGGCTTTCATAGCAAGAGGATTTGAGTACAGGAGCAGGGATGTCTTGCTGAAATTATACAGGGCCTTGGTGAGACCACACCGGGAAGATTGTGTGCAGTTTTGGTCTCATTCTCTGAGGAAAGATGTTCTTGCTATAGAGGGCATGCAACAAAGGTTTACCAGGCTGATTCCTGGAATGGCAGGACTGGTGTATGAGGAGAAATTGTTGATTAAGAATATACTCGCTGGCATTCAGAAGAATGAGAGGGGAATCTCATAGAAAATTATAAAATACTAACAGAACTAGACAGGTAGAGGCAAAAAGGATTTTTTCGATGACAGGGGAGTCCAGAATCAGCGATCACTGTCTAAGGGTACGGGGTAAACCATTTAAACCATTTAGTGCTGAGATCAGGATAAAGTTCTTCACTCAGAGTGGTGAGTCTTGCTACCAAAGAAAGCAGTTGAGGTCACAGTATTGTATGATTTCAAGAAGGAGTTGGATACAACACTTGGCTAAAGGGATCAAAGGACAGTAGGGAAAAGTAGCAACAGGCTATTGAGTTGGATGATCAGCCATGACCATAATGAATGATGGCAAAAGGCTGAATGACCTACTCCTGCTACTGTCTTCTGTGTTAAACAACTTTAGTCATTTACTTCCCAAATAGCTACTATTTGGCTATTTAAATGTATCTATCTAATTAGAGTCCAATCACTTGAAAATAAATATAGAATGTGTGGTTTAAACCCCTTTTCCATTGAAGACTTGGTCTTGCACTGTGGTGTGCATAGCTATGGAAACTCAATAAGTATGTAACATATTCTGTACTTGTATGTGACATCTGGTTCACTATTTCCTTTAGGAAAGGAAACTGTCATCCTTATCTGGTCTGGCCTACAAGTGACTCCAGACCGACAGCAATGTGGTTGACTCTGAATTGCCTTCTGGACAATTAGGGAAGGGCATAAAATGTTGCCTAGCCGGTGAAGCCCTCAACCTGTTAATGGATAAAGAAAAAAAAAAGCATTTATGTGTCTCATTTACTTTGTGTTACACTTTGTTGATGAGCAGCTGATAGTTTGGCTTTTAAAAAGCACAGCATATTATCTGATGCATCATGAGTTGCGCTGCGAGAAATCTGTTAGTTGTATAGTGAATGTCCCAAGTTCACCACTACTCATCTCTGCATAACTGTGT